CTCATAGTCCAATCCCCTTGTTGTGTTTGCCCTTGATCTCATGTCCACATATGAGGGAGAACATACGATTTTTGGTCTTTTGGGCCAGGCTAACCTACAGCCATGTTTTTTTAAAGAGTGGATTGCATTTTCACATCCTAACACCATCCAGAAAGTGGGCGAGAGGGGAAATAGGAAGGAGGCTGTTCCACAGTATCACATCAAGTGTCTGTTAATTAGCCATGCTACAAAAAAAGCAGTACTAAGCAGAGAGGTAAAAGGACTTGAAGACTCTACAATTAGCTGGCTTCGAGGAGTAGTGTAATTGAGTCATTTAAAGTTGTCTTTGAGAAGCCTGAACAGGGTTTCTAGGACTGCATTCTTCCATTAGAAGCAGTTAGGTTTCCCACTTTTGACTAAGGAGTAGTGGTGTAATCAGGACTCAATAAGAAGAGCATTTAACAAGGTCAAAAGTCCAGGATCCTTTCCTTTTTAATTCAAAGATGCTCTTCTTGAACAACAGTTTTTGTTTATTTGGTTTTATCTTGAGTTACCATTTTTAATAAAATCTTGTTCACATTGGAGAGATTCTCCTCCAAACTGTGCTGTTAATTAGCTCTTCTTTGATTTTCCCAAATAGATAATCCAGCAGGCTGGCCAGGTTTGGTTCCCAGACTCTGCATTTAAGACTTATCAGGCTATCAAGGACTTCAACCGTGAAGGGCTACCTCTGATGGTCTTTGCCAACTGGAGAGGCTTCTCTGGTGGGATGAAAGGTGATTGACCTGGCTGTGGGCAGGAAGGAGGGATGTCACTGGTCATTGGACAGAGGGTGGGGAGGGAGAAAGGATTTAGACTCTTCAGAGCTTTACTTTTGGGGGATTATGCTTCCTCTGAGATTTCTAAGTTGCAAGTTGAATGGAAAAGTATGACATGTTTTATAATTTCACAGAAAATTATAGAATAATTTATTAGTATTATCTAGGTGGGCTACTATTGTGTATTTAGCTTCCCCAAGTAGATGTTAGACCATTCTGATGGTCCTGGGAAATCTGATTGTGCTTGTCTCTGTCCCTCTTTTCTGGGAATATTTTTCATTCATGTTACTCTCTAATGTTCTACAAAGACCAAGATAGATTCTGAAATTAGCACTAACTGGAAGAAAATGAACAAATTCTGTACCAGAGGCTGTTCTTTGTGGCAATTTGTGATGTGGTTTATTATTATCCACCAACAGCCCAGGGCCTGTGGCTCCGGCAAATTAGACTATTATTATAAAGGCTCTGCTTCATGCTATAGGAATTGTTTAGTGATTAGGTGGCCTATGTCACCATTAACTGAAAATCCTCCATGAACAAAGCCACTGTGGTCAGTACAGGGAGAGTCAAAATAAACTCCTTCTATGGGTAGCTCTGTCCAGTGGCAGAGACCCATAGCCATGCAAAGGCCAGAGACTGCACACCTAGAGGCTTTGGGAGTATGCTGATGGGTGCTAACCTCATTCATCTCAGGATTTTGAGGTAGTACACAAAATGGAAGGAGGAGAAACTGACATGCTGGAGTGATTAGAGAATGTGAAGGCCACATAAAATGTGCAGCCTAGCTAGGAAGAACCCTCTATGACCAGGCCACCCTAACAAAATGTAAATTATATTGATTTTTTTTCACATTTGTTTTTTTTTTTAGTTGAAAATTTATCCTTTGCCATATTTGCTAGAGAACTACCATATCTTGTACTTTTCTTGGGGGAGACTTGGATGATACATGCAATTTAATGTTTACATACTTTTTTTAGCTATGAAAGTGATTTTTTTTGACTAAAATCATAAATCAATGGAAATACTACAAGAAATTGAGAATATAGGTTAAACAAGTCACTCCTACACATTTTTATTAAGTTCCTATGTGCGAGGAACTATGTTAGCCACCTCAGAGGAAACAAAATAAACCAAACAAAAATAAATCAGAAGCAGATATTGCTTCAAGGAGTCAAGAAAAATGTTTTGGACAGGATGATAAAGCTGTAACATAAACAAAATACATGAGGGGAAGTGAGGGGGACACTAACACCCCTTTCATTCATATACATATATTTAATTCTTTGGCTATCAGGTGTGTGTTAGGAGCTGAGAGAAAATGCTATGCTGTTACATCTTAGTGTCCTCTGGACACTGAACATTCACTTTTTCTGACACACATGGGAGAGAATCAGCCTGGCTATCCTATACTATGTAGAGTTCAGAGTTCAAAGGTTTCAGAGTTGCCACTTTTAGTAAAAGCTTCAATTCCACTGCATATTTTGGCTGAGGTCCAGATTGGCTACTAGCCCTATAACATTAAGAACAACAATTAAGATTTATTGAGCCCTTTCTACCAGAAACTGCTATTTTACATTATCTTATTATATAATCATCACAACAAGCACTGCTGAGAGGTAGGTTATGTTGTTTCTGCATTTTCATGAATTAAGACTTTGGGAAAAATCTCAATATGATTCAGTATCAAATGACAATCGGGAGAGGACTATAGATCCATCTGACTCCTGGTAACGCAGTTGGCTGATCTAGGATCAGCTGGAACATCCATGGAATGGAATATTGAGGTCCCTGAGAAAGTTATGCTGTACCTGTTCCTCCACTTCCCTCCTTTGGAAGTGTCCTTTGTTATTGTGGAAAGAGAAAGAGAGATTATTATTGTGATAAATTTTATAAATACTTACCGTCTTAACCATTTGTAACTGTACCATTCATTTGGTGTAAAATATATTCACAATATTTTGTAACCATTAGTACTATCTATATCCCAAACTTTTTCATCATCCCTAACTTAAATTCTGTACCTATTTAATAATAACCTTCTGCTCCCTCCTGCTCCTGGTCAGAAATGAGTTATTGGCCTAATACAGATCAGGGAAAAATTCTTTCTTCTGAATTTTGGTGTTGATGTATCCATTTATATCTTGCATAAGACAAGCTTTGGGGAGGATACAGATCTATGTGAAAGTAGGAGGGGGAGGAACAGTGTCTTTCATATTTACATACAGGTCAGGATGTTTCCTATGTATTATCTCATGTAAAGGGACCTAAACTGAGAGCCTCTTGTCATTCTCCACATCCCTTGGGGAGATGTTTGCAGTTTTGGTTTCAATACTGACTGGGGATTATGCAGGGAGGGAAAATAAACAATTATGCCATCCCTCAGTGCACACAAACACACAGCCAGGAGCCGACTGCACTGTGGGTAAAATGACTCCAAAATTGTGTGTAATGAGTAGGAAAAGATTAGAGACAGCTCTTGCTATGCTGAAAATTGACATTAGTGGAGAGAGAGAGGGAAAAAACTCTTTACTAGTCAGCCTAGGAGGTCTAATTCGAGCAGTAAAAATATAAATAAATAAATAAAAGCTTGTCAAGATGGTATTGGTGCTTTTTTTCCAATGAGCTCTATCTGGCCGGAAGGCTATTCAGCATAATGCAAAATTAAATTATAAAAACTGGCTGAATATTTAGATGGAAGAGCCATTTGGAAGCAGTTTATTTAGACGAACCGGCAATGACCCACAACAGGGAGACATCAAGCGTGAAATTTACTAGAAATTAGCACCAGGGTCCCAGCCTCAGCATGAATAGCTTGATAGGATGCAAATCCCAGTGATATTAAGCCGCCTCACTGCTGGTGCTACAGGGTCACTCTCAGTTGGCTTTTCATGTTATACTTATTATTTTTTCCTGGGACAGGTTATAAATAACAATAAAAAAAAACATTTATTGAAAACTTTAACTGGATTGAAAGTCTATTTTAAAGTCTCTGATTACTTGGATATTGAAGTACAGTGTCCGCTGGCCATAATGAACTCATGAATGAGAGACATTATGTATATGCAGCTTTTCTATGCCTAATGTTTACCTCAGCTCCCAACAGATGATCTTGCCCTAGCCAATAAGATCTCTTCCAGTTTTGAGAGTGTGGGGCATTGCAGAAGCACTTTCAGCCACCCTGCTTCCTTTTTTAGTATATTTGGCTGCCATGGTTTATCCATGCTGTATAACAATGAAGGCTCCATGCAGAGTTGGTGCCTGGGTACTGAGAACATGCTTCAAATACTGTATGTGATCACCCTTTATGCAGAAGTGCTTTACCCAGAATGCTCAAACTATAAGCTCCTGTCTCTCTGGTGAAGAACTTATCAGTATTTTCCATTTCCAGTTGCATTTCTCGGGGCCTGAGAACCGACACCATATGCACAGCTTTAAAATTCCCTAGACTGATTTCTAGTATAAACCCTTGGGGATCCCCTTCCTCTGCTACTTTTGACTGTATCTTCACTCTCTCTCTTAAATATGAAGGGGTTTCAGACAATTGTATGTCAGATTGTTGCTAAGTAAGTGGTTTGGTGCAGCTGCAATTCAGTATGAGAAGGTTGACTATAGAGTTTGTGTGTTTGTTTATATTTGAATAGTCTGCTTTTTGGGTGTTTTAATGGTTGGATCATGGGTCTCTTGGTCAGGACAGACAGAGGCGTTATTTCAGTCCCAAGCAAGATAGCTTTAATGAAGCCAGAAGCCCCTTTTCTACTCACAGTCTTGGGGCCTAAAGATACTTGTTTGACAACCACATTCAAGCCCTCACATAGCTACTAGTGTCATCAGTACAGTTTCTGAGATTTCTGAACATAGAGGAAATCCAGGCAACATTTAGAAGTATTCAATCATTTAGTCAGGTCTCTCCTTTTTTTTTTGTTTCAGTTTACAGCCTTTCTTTGGTGGTAGTGGGGTTTGAAATCCAGACCTCACACTTGCTAGGCAGAGCGCTCTTCTACTTGAGTCACTCCACCAGCCCTTTTGTTGTCATTTTAGTCAGCCATTTTACTAGATGTTGGAAATCAGTTTGCTCCAGCCTTGTGTGCTGTCTTTACTAGCAATAATAATGATAAATAAAAATGAGGTGGTAGAATGTGGACTTAAGAGCCAAAAAGATCTGAGTTTGAATCAGGTATCTGTGGCAAACACTTGTAATCCCAGTTCTCAGCAGGCTGAGACAGGAGGATTTTAATACATTTAAGGCCACCCTGGTCTATACACATATGGAGACCCCGTCTTCAAATAAAAAAAGGATCTGTGTCTGAGTCTTATGTCTGCTACTTATTCTTATTTAACTAAGTTTCTGTTTACTTACCTGTAACTTGGATATATAAATAAGATGGTGTTCTGATGATTAAAGTGTGTGTGTGTGTGTGTGCGTGTGTGTGTGTGTGTGTGTGTGTGTGTGTGTGTGTGTGTGTACAGGTACAATTCCTGGTACACAGTAAACTAACCTTAAATACAAAAAAGGGACCCAAAGTCCATTGCATAAAATTGATTAACATGCATACACTCAACTCCATTCCAAGCTATTTCCATTCAACATGAAGTTAAGTGGTGATGGTGGTTGTTTTTTAACTAGATGATTGAAAAGACATTTTAAGTAAAGTTTTCCCCTTTGAGGAGTTGGAGCATAAGGAGATACATTTTGATATGTTTTTAACAAGCAGACATGCGTAAAGAGGCTGCAAACTTTGTCTTCATTTACCTAACTTTTTTTTTTACTTTACAGTTAGAATGACTTCTTGTGCTGTCTTCTATTGCTTTATTTTCACCTTTTATCTATGCCTTCCATTCTTCTGTACATGATACCTATGAGGGCCACTCCTTTCTGTTTCTTGTTCTTAAACTGTACTCTTGGCAGCACTGAAGAATGTACTGCTAATTACACACTTATTTTATTATGTAGCACTGGTTGAAATATCCACTAAAGAATTAATTTAGTTAAAATAATTTGAACCAAGCAATTATTTTCATAACCACGGAATTAGCGTAAAGCGCTTAAAGTCCTTTATTCCCTGCTCTTCATACAGCAGTTGTGTAATTAGCAGTAAATTTTTTTGGCCTTTCCTCTCAAAGGAATAAATGTCCTCACTCTGATCATATATAAAGAGTACATGTCCATACACATTCCACACAAAGTAGAAAGTGTTTCTGGGGGCAACTTAGAATTTCTGAAGTCTTCACAGACAAGCCCAGTTGGGACAATGGAGAAAGGCATGTGTCTTGCAATGAATTGTGCTCACTGGTGTTTGGTATATAGAGCCATTTTTACCTTGGAGAAGGTGGCAGTTTAATTTTCCAATAACTATAATAAACACAATTTCTGTTTGCTTTGCTCTTAACTTCTTGAAAAATGCTTCTTTGCCTTGGATTTCCAGAATTGATTTATTCTAAACTGAGATCCTCTCTTTGATAGGAAAGTCTGAACTTAGTTGAACCTGTTATTTGGTATTTAGAAAGGATCTATTGTGGCTCCAGTTGAAGTACTCATTGAACTTCTAGAATCGTAAACCTAAAACTTTAACAATATTTAGACTTCAAGGAAATGAGAAGATGTTCATAGAAAGTTGGAAATAAATAACTGATCTAGCTTTCCAAAGACTTTATTTATGCACCAGGTGTCTCTTTCTTCAGGCTAATCCTTGTCCTGGGGGGATTACAAAGTATACTTTTTAGCAGAATAGAGGTAGCTCTTCAGTTTATGTGACTGTGATAATTCACATACAGACACATGCACACACATTTTCGCACTGATATCTTATCAAATGCAACTATTAAAAATTAATTTGTTTTTCTTGTATTTTTTCAACAGTGTGTGTATGCTTATTCACTCAGCAGATACTTATTGAACACAGTGTTCCAGGCACCAGGCAGGACAATGGGTATACAAAAATGAAAAATCAAGGTTTTTTTGTTTTGTTTTGAGATAGTGTCTTGCTGTGTAGCCCAGGCTGGCCTCAAACTTGTGATTCTCCTGCCTCAGCTTCCTGCGTACTGAGATTATAGTTGTGTCTTACCATGCCTGGCTCTAGTTTTTAAAGATAAAGTTTTTTGCAGGATCCGTTTTCATTAGCTGCACATTTTAAGAACTTATGTATGCTAAGAATTATGAGAGGAATTTAAAAGAGTTGGAATAGTTCCTTCAGAAAACTTAATGTAGTGGGAGAGATCACATATTGACATGAAAAATACTCAACAGTTGTAGAGCAAGTGTGAATTAATGTGGTGAAACCTGAGTACGGAAATTCAGGGAGGATAGGAAATGGATGTGCAATGGAGGTTTGCACACTGTGCCTTGTGAAAGACAGTGCATTTTTCTCTTGAGCTTTTGAAGATCCTCTGGAGTGGGATACAGGTAGAGATAGAAATACTTTTAGTCTTTGGGGTTGCCACATGGGACTTGTGGTGGCTGGAACCCTAAGACCTGTTATTTCTGCCATGAGCAGCCTTCTTATCGGGACACAGTATTCCATACAAATATTATTTTCTGTATGTCCAATAATGCGAGCAGTGTTTGGAAGCACTGCTTTGGGGAGGATAAGTTTCATGATTTCTAATTTGTCTCCTTCTCTGTAGATATGTATGACCAAGTGCTGAAATTTGGTGCTTACATCATAGATGGCTTACGGGAGTGCTCCCAGCCTGTGATGGTTTACATTCCTCCCCAGGCTGAGCTGCGGGGTGGCTCATGGGTTGTGATTGACCCCACCATCAATCCCCGGCACATGGAGATGTATGCTGATCGAGAAAGCAGGTAATGTGCCTTTTGTAGTTCCATTCACTGCCTCTGGGAACCCTCTAGTTGTTGGTTTCCTCCCAGAGAACATGTAACCAAGAGAACCTCATTTGAATCTGTCCATTCCCAAAGGACTCTACGGTGAGAACACAGGCTTTCTAAATGGTGTCTGCTGGCAAAAGAAGGAGAAACCAGTCTGGAGTCAGTCTTTCTCAGTATAATACCCCATCCCCGATTCTTTCACCATGAAGTTTTCTCTTCCAAGTACCTACAAACTCGGAAAGATTCCCTTCCTTACAGATATGCCTCTTACTCAGATATGTGTGGCAGGGAGAGCTTAAAGCCAGTTGGAGTGGAAGGACTAGTTCTGGGGTTTTAACCCTCTGGCTAGCAAACTTGGAGCCCCTCCTTGGCTTCTTCTCCTTGTCAGTGGAATAAGCTGGCCATTGATGTGCACCACAGCACCCACATTCTATAATCCAAACCAAAGCTTCTTCCTTCCTGTGGAGCCTAGGGGTTCATTCTGGCATTCCAAGAGGCTTAGGGAATGGTATTTGTAGCACCCAAAAAACTGCAAGAGAGAAGCCAGGATTTGTTACCTAAAACTACTTAAGTAAAACAAATCAAACGAGCATCCTTTCGTAATGTGTTCTTCACCCTTCCTATGTAGGTAAATTTTACAACATATTTGACATTATCCTGAACTAGCCCCTGGTCTGATACCAGATCAGACTCAATTCCTCTGCAGACTTTGGAACTAGACTGTTTTCAAATCCCCTTCTACCATTTGCAAGATTTGGACAACTCTCTTAACTTCCTGTACCTTAATTTTCTCTCCTGTAAAATGGGTATAGTACCTTACCTCAGAGTGTTTTTCACTGGGCATAGGATTGTTGTGAGGATTTATATGTCGACACTTAGAAAAATGGCATGCACAAGGTAGGCATTAGCTGTACTTTTTTAAAATATTAAACTTAAGTGTTTAGGCAAGATTTCTGGTGATAGAACATCATTAGTATTCACTAGAAGTAACAGTGAGATTTCCCTTTGCTCATTTCCATAGCAGTGAGAAGAATGTCTTACATGCTGCTTAGTATATCTGATCCAAGTCCTACCAGCAGACTGACAGTTGTGTTGTAGGACCATCCACCCCTCACTTGTACAGCCTAAGTGCTGGAGGTAGTTGCCCTGCCACTGTACCTATAGCATTTTTTTTTTCCTGGAAAATAATGTGATTCCTGTCACCCTTCTCAGCTGTAGGTGGTGGAATCTATATTCTCCTTTTGAGATGGAAGTCGACTGGTGTGGTAATGAGAATTATTTTAATTGCTTTTTGCCAGGCCTTTCTCATACCTCACTTAGACACTTCCTCTGGTGCCTGCTTTTTTCCCCAGGGTGACTTCTATGAACCATGGGTGGGCAAAATGATAATGAAGCTATTTCCTGGTCCACAAATTGTAACTGGCCTCATTTTGTTGTCTTCTTTCCTTTAAAGTGCCGCTGTTTTTGTTTTGTTTTGCTTTGCTTCTCTCTGATTCAGGGGATCAGTTCTGGAGCCAGAAGGGACAGTAGAAATCAAGTTCCGCAAAAAAGATCTAGTGAAAACCATGCGCCGGGTGGACCCAGTCTACATCCGCCTGGCTGAGCGATTGGGTATGTCTGCTTGTCCTCCTGGCAAATCAATGAACCATTCTACTGATTTGTAATGAGTGCATTCATAGGCCAGAGGAGGAGGCATTGAAGCATTTGATCAAATTCATGATAATCTTTATTTACTGTCCTCTATATGGTAAGAACCCTGGTAGAATGAAGTAGTGTATATAATAGGAGGGAAAGTGTGCCCTCAACAAGAGCAAAAATCCTTCAACTTTTTTCTTTTGATATTTCCTTATAGGACAAATAGTATGCCTTTCTAGGTTATTCTTGTAGAGAATGATTAGCTGGAAGGAGCTTTGGGGAGCAGGCTAATCAGGCAGAGAATATGCGAGACTTAAATGTATCCTGTTTCTGCTTGTCTCTTTGGACAGCTGTCTCATTCCTGAGGGATGTGAGTCAGTGTCATATTATAGAAAAGATGGAGTCTACCCAGGCAGTGTTCTGGGGTCATCCTGAGCTAGGGAAATGGAAGTAAAGATTGTGCACTGTGTGCTTCCAAATAGCGGCTGCAGCAGCAAGAGCCCTGGGAGCATTTGTTCTTGATGCTTCCAGCCATTACTCTGTTGCTCATTTGTTTTCAGAGCTTTTGGAAGCACTTGTGATTTGAACATAGGACTAAACTGTGGGAGCCCTATGATGAGTCCAGAGTCCCAATGAGTTTTGTATTCTTTTAAAACACTGATTTCCTGCCTAGGTCTCCCATCAAGCCCCTTTCTTTGTTAGTGAAGATAATTGCTTAGGATTGTTTTGTTGGTTGTTTTGTTTTTCTAAAAGAACAGAGAGGTTGTCTTTAAAAGGTAGTGAAACTCAGTGAATGGAAGGAGTGAAAAAGAGAGATGCTAGCTCATTGATGTTTTAAAGAGTAATTTAATTAATAAAGTACCATTTGTGGAATCTATATCCTCAATCATCTAGAATCAGGCAAAACTACTAGGTGTTTGCCTATAATGTGTAGACTGTATATCCAGGCACTTGGATTCCTAAGTCAGTTGTTTGCCGAGCACAGTGACATGGGTTACAATAAACCCCGCTCGTGTCCCATTGTTTGCCATTAGGTAACAGCCACCAATAACTCTAGCCCACCACAGCCTTATCGTTTTATGGGAAATGCACACATACAAAAAGAAATTGGCCAAGTTGTTTCTAAAATGTATTGCCACTTGAATTGTTGAGGTGGTTTCTTTCTCTTTCTTTTCCAAACAGGATAATTACTTCTGACCAACCCTATACACTTTAATTAAAGTAACTGCAGCTCAAGAGCAAGTTACTTAGAACTGTACATAGAGAGAGCTCTAAAAGCTTCAGCCACTGATAAGCATCTCACTTAGATGGCTCATAATTGCTCCCAGCATCCAGCAATCCTTGCCACTGTTTGTACCATTAAATTCTCTACAAAGGCAGTAATGCAACAATTGCAGGACACAGAGGATTGCCAAATTTCCTTTCTCTCTCTTTTTTTTCTCCCACTCCCCCTCTTTTTTTTTTCCTCTGGTTTTCTTTCTGGCCAATTTAAAATTTGTCAAAGTCGGTCTTCTTCTGGATCACTGCCCTTTGATATTTCGCGCACTCCATTTGCCACAAACAAGCCGCAGGGCCGCAGTTCATGCTGACTCTAGCAGAAGCAGAGAGAGCTCCATTTATCTTACACTGCCTGCTGAATTCCTACTCATTAACTGGGGGTTCACTGCCTCTTTTTAACCCCCCAATGGCTGTTATCATCCCTTCAGAGTAACTGGGTGGTAGGAAGAGGGATCCTCTTCACATCTGTTTGCAGAAGGACTTGGTGGTGAGGGGTGTGGGGCCAAAACTTCCTTCTCTTCACAGAAAGTGGTATTGTTCCCACCTTCACCCAGCACCTTTAACTTTAGAAGCATATGCAGGGGAAAGGGAGGAGATTCCCAAGGGATGGCCATTTAATCATTTGTTACAAATCATCTCATTAATTTCCTATCCACACTGAAGAAAATCATACTTATTTAACCTTGACCAAAATGGCATTCAAGAAAGAATCTGTAGTCTGCTAAATGTGAAGTGGGCTCTGGCTCAGGGCAGCATGGGAACATGAGCAATGGATTTGGAATAGAAATAACTATGTATAAATCTTGAATATGAGGTTTGCAGGTAAATAGCTTAACTTCTCTGAGGTTTCTTCATCTGAAATGTGGGGATAACACTCCCGCCTAGCTAATGCGAGGATCAGATGAGAGTGTACTTGATTTGAATCTGCAAAGTATTTCTCAAACATAAAGCTCAACATCATTCCTGTTCAGTCATAATCATTAAAAAAAAAACAAAACAAATGAACACATTTGGTATCAAAATTCTCTGTGGCTTGGTCCACTTTTGGAAATACAAATGGGACAGAAATAGAACTGTCTTCTAGGCAGTTGATGTCTTTTAGAGAGCTCATTCACATCTGGGTGTATCTGAAACCACACAGCAGCTGAGCCTGGGTGGACCAGGGCACACTATGAACCTGATTCTTTGTGTGGCCATGTGGCTTTTGGGTTCAACCCACAATGCCAACAACCAAAGACTGCCAGGAATACTTTTTCACTAAGTGGGTGAAATGACTTCATTTTCCAAAATGGGAAATTGAAACAAAAAATAAGGCCAAACAAGTCTTTTAAGATAACTTTAGAGCTCAGAATAGAATTCTTGATCCCTGTGTTCTACTTTTCTCAAGATTTCCTCAGACTTTACCTCAACTGAATACTGAGCCCGATCTAAATTAAACAAGGTTCCTTTCCTTTTGTGAGCTAAAGCCAATTACACTGAGAAAATCTGATTTAGGAGAAAGCCTATAGGAGTGGGTGTTATCTTGTATTCCTGATCTTTTCCCAAATCAGCCTCTGCACTGGGGAGCACTCACAGATCACTTAAACAAGCCAGTGATTGACTGTTCAAAATTATTATTTATTCTCTAAGGATAATGAATAATATTTAATTTTAAAAAATAACTTGGTCATTTTCTGTGGCTAGTTTGTTAAGAAAGGTGGTAAATTGCTAGTTTGCAGGTCTATGATCATAGTAGAGAAGATGAAAATAGTGCATACATTGAGCTCTGATTGAGATAAAAGGAAAAAAAATGCCTCAAAAAAAAAATAGTAGTAGGTCCAGTTACCAGAGTCTTGCATATCTGAACCAGTTCTGACCCTGGATTCTCAGAACCAGGGCTTGATAGAGTCATCACAGGGAGGATTACATCCCACCTTTTTGGTTGCCTTGAGGAAATGAAATTCCTTCTCCCAGAATTTTTGTATCTCACTATCATCCTTCTGCTGCCTCTCAGAGCCAGCACAGAGTGGCTGTAGAGCAGGACTGTGATGCTAGCCTGACCTCTGAGTGCTGTGACCTGGATCCAGGTCTTTGCCTGGATCTTTACCCTCCTCTATGTTCACAGTGAAATGACAAATCAATTTAGATGGAGAGAGAACTGTCCAGCCCAAGTGTAAAGTAATTGTAAGTTCCCTACTGTCCCTCTTCTTCAGTACAAAGAACACCCGAGCCAAGGAGTCACTTAGGGGAACCTTGTTTTCTACGACGGCTCTATTTCTAGACAGCTGGGCAGCCTGCCATGTACCTCTTCAACTGCATGGCCCACATGGCTGGGCCCTGATAGGTGACACAAGCTGTGGGAGCCCCAGCTGAGCACAACTGCTGGCCCAGGCCTATCTAGCATCTAGCATGCCTTCTGGCTTAAATACTGGGTACAAATGGAGTATTATGGCAGCTGATGAGGCTACACGTGCCTATAAAAATCTTCAGGAATGCCTTCCTCTGATGCATTCTCCTTAGCAGCCATAATGACAGGAAAAGGATTGTTTTTGGATGGAGATTCAGGGGTTACTATCTAAGCTGTGTGTTTTTCCATCTCAAAAGCCTTGTTGCTTGTTTGAGGCAAGAAGTTTCCTTGCCTGAAAAGTTGAGACTAGGAAAGAAAGAAATTCCAGTACACATTCCTTAGAAGTGACTGTTCACCTGTTATGCATGGAGTCACTGTCACCATAACCACTGTGTCCTTTGTGGTAAAGAAGCTGGTGAGAAATAACAAGGTTTTCTATCATGGAGGCAAATGAGAAGGGGAGTAGTGTCTTGCCTTCTCCCTTAAGTTAGCAGCAGCTGAAAACCTACCTCCTTACTTTAATTCAGAAGCTGTTTGGCTTGATGCAATTTAATGCAACAGTGATAACATTTTTTGGGACAGAGAGGTGTTATTTTAGTCTGATCCCTTAATCTGTTGTTTATAAAGAGCACTGGGGCGCTTGTGCCCCAACCTCCCCACCAAGCAGTGATTCACTGTTTCCTTGGGCAGGTATTTCTTTAGAGGGAACCTAAGGCTCTTTTTGTCCTCCTGAAAGCTGTTGTCAGAACATATCCAAGACCCTCCTTCCCACTTGTTCTCAACTGACCCAGATCCCTGTATCTATCAGGCCTAGGGGGAACAGATCAGGGAAGGAAAATAATGAAGTCTGTAGGAGCATATGTCTATCAGAATTCAGAGAATTCTGTGCTTTTTCCTGAGTTATTTTTGTATGGATATGATTTCATGAGGGCACAGGAGCAAGACTGAAAATTCCTATTTGGTAATCTGTGGCTTTACTATAATGATTTTTAAAATGTGAACAGCAGAACACTAATACTATTGCAAGGAACTTTAGGGTTAAGCATCCCTTGAGAAGATTAAAATTGCTGTTAAAATCAATATGCAAATGCAGTTGTATTTAGCTAGGTATGGGCCCCCTTTGAAGAAAAGCAGATATATGAAAATGGGATTTTGAAAAAAAAACTAGATACATTGGGAGAAATTATTCCCATTACAAAAGGATTATTTGCTTTACCAAAGGATTCACTGCAGGGTTCCTTCTAAATAGCTCCCTTAAGGCATTTAAAACAGGATCTGATTTACACAGTTTTTCAAGAATGCTTTTGTGTTTAAAAAAAAAAAAAAAACCACACCTGTTAGGGATATAGAAATGGTTTTTGCAGGATATTTT